GCAGCCCACCACCCATCACCCCCCCTTCCAGTGTTGTAAGCAAGTCAGCTACTCTTCTAAAACACAGATATGTCAGGAGTATGCATAGGAAGAAATTCTGGTGTTCATTCTCAATCAGCCAATGCTGGTAAAGTGTTGAATGAGAGCAAAATCTAATCCCAGTCACGAATGATTTATAAGAAGGCCTCTTCCCAGAGGTTATTCTCCACTTAGAAAACGTTCACAAGTGATACAACTACCCTCTACCTGCTATGTTTTGCCTCATGAGCCAATATGCAAGGAGAAGAAATCAGAGGCCATCTCTGACCTACTGTGTCTCATAATGGCGGGAATTTAAATGGACCAAGGTGCAAATGATGAGGCCCCCAACAGGATCCTGCTCTGTAAAATCCTGAAATCACAGTCCAGAGGGCCACTGCTCCCACCACTCTCCCCCCCCCATCCCTTCCATGCTTACGGTTGCACGGCAAAATAGCCATGCCTGAGTCCTTGTGAGGCCCTGGGATTCGATGCATCTAGAATGGGGTAGAGGAAGACCTCAACGGTGAAACTCAGAATGATCCACTGGTTTGAAAATGGCCCTTGTTTTTCTATAATGCTTTACCTCATCCATATTCCCTCAAAACTTCTGAAGTTAAGATAAACAGGCCTCTAATAATATAAAATTGGATTAATGATTTAAAAAGATACCTGTGATCCGGTAAATTGGAACTTATAGACATGGACTGGGTTTACATTCAGTCTTAGGTCATAAAATCTGCTTTACAAAGAAACACTTATCTTCTAACATACAAAGCCTGCTTAAGAGAGTGTTTCGAATATTTTCCCTAAGATGTTGGCAAAACCAAAGCTTTGAATTCATAGGCGAGTTATAAATGATTTTAATCTATTCTTTAAAGCAGGCCCAGGAGGTGGTTTATGTAATAATATCCTTCAGTAATCACTGGCTTATGTCATTATATATCCATGTGTGTATGCAATAAAACATTTAAAAATATTCTATAACTTTGACTTTCCACTAATGCAGGCCGATCTTGGCCAGTTGTTATTAGTTTAAAAGGACTGAGTTGATTAGATTCTTTTCTTGCATCAAATCACGTTTTATCTTTTCTCACTCAAGCCACCACAGTGACAAAGAATGAGCACTCTATGCTCTAGCTCACTGAATCCTCACACAACTCACACGGTTGGTATTATTAGCTCCATTGCACAGACGAAGAAAGTGAGGCTCAATCAAATCTCAGCTATCCAACTCTAAAAAGCTGGCGTGATTAACCACAATGCTGCAGAAATGCCTTTCCCCTATGTTGTGCCAAAAAAATCACTGTCAGAGAGAACCTGAGTCACAACGATTTAAGTTGCAAGATACTTTGTGGCTGACAAAGAACCTCCACAGGCTCCTCGTGGGAGGCACAGGGTACAGTATTCATGTGGTATACAAAGCTCATTTCCGTTAGTCACTACCTGGGAAACCCAGAAAATGGTACACTTTAATTTGTAAAGAACCCTTGTGTCTGTCCCTTCACCCAGAGAGGGGACAGGGAGGAAGTCCATGGATTTAAGATGAAGATGCATTCACTGAGTAAAATCCTTTACTTCTACGTTCATTAGCTGATATATAAGTCAGCCACCCAATGGGGAAGGCTGCACAATGGGACCACCCCTCCTTGAGGGACCAGGAGACCAAAGCTCAGGACTACAAAGTGAAGTCCCAGAGTTGGTGGCTGACACTGGCAGGACCAGAGCACAGGCCTTTGCGTCTCTTCTTGGGGGTTTGAACCACACCTTGGGGGCCTAACCACAGGTATGCCTGGTGTCAGGTGGGTCCTGCAGGTGAAGAAGTGAGCCCACTGCCCAGGACCACCATTTCCCCCCAGGGTATCTGGCAGTGGTTCTAAAGAAACCAAGCACTGAGACACCAACGAGTTCTCTTATTCGGTCTATTTACTGGCAAAAACCTCAAAAGGGACAAGGAGTTTAATGAATAATTTTAAAAGTAAAAAAATCACCAAGCTTCTAAAACACACACACACACACACACACACACACACACACACACACACACACA